AAGCCCCAGTAGATAGTTGCATGTCGTAGTTGCACATCCTTCTAGTCGCTGTATGTGGGACGCGGCCTCAGCACGACTGGAGAAGCGGTGTGTCGGTGCACGCCCGGGATCCAAACCCCGGCCGCCAGCAGCGGAGTGCGCACACTTAACCGCTAAGCCACGGGGCCGGCCCAGGAATATTTCTTTAACACGTGCTTTCATACCACCTTTTTCCTCCCTCTAGTGAGGAAACAAGGGAGAGGGAAGATTGCCGGGGGGATTCAGTAGCATCAAGTGTGCCCTAAAAAGTGAGGGAAGGAGTAGAGGAGAGAATATCAAACCCTTAACCAGGGAATGACATTAGACCCCTACAGCAGCAATCCAATAGGCAGCCAGAGGAAACAGCTGGAAGAAACAAGGAGTTAAACGCTCCTACCCTACATATGGTGGCTTTAGCAGTTTAACTCAGTCTTCCTAAATAGCTGTGAAATTCTATTAAAGTAGAATATAGGACAATTTGTAATTAAATAAAACATGAAAACTTAATGTATAAGCTCCTTTATTTTTTTGAGTTATTTTTTCTCTTTAAAGGTAAGGCAGAGAAATTCTTAAGTTTTTTGTGAGTTAGTAGAATAGCTTGTTGGGGATAGGCAGAGGTAATTTTTAAAAAATGTAGACAGGTATATATAATAGTGGAGAATAGTCTCGTATGAATTTTCACACTCTTCATCAGGAGCTATTTCAGTAGAATAACTCACTATGTGTCAAGAACTCTTCTGTGCATCTGACATATGAATTCATTTAATCTGCACTGCAACTTTGTGGATAAGCACTGCTATTATCCCCAATATACAGACAAGGAAGTTGAGGTACAGAGTAGGAAATTCTGGGAAGATTGCTCAGAGGTAACCAGGTAACAGGAGCAGAACCTGAAATTTTATAAAAGATGATTAACTGCTAATTTTTTTACTCAATAGCTTGATGAAATGTAACGGTTTGGTTAAGTACTAGTGGTGGGTTTCTTTTTTGGTATTAGGAGCGTGTTAGACCTTTGCATAGTGTATTGGTTGTGGCTTTATTAACTTACCTCCCTTTCCTTTTTCTAACTCTTATTTTTCACCCTATTTTTAGGTTCCATACCCCATGAAGTGCCTCAGATATTAATTAATAGGGAACCTTTGCCTCATCTGCATTTTGATGTAGAGCTTCTTGGAGACTGTGATGTCATAATTAATGAATTGTGTCATAGATTAGGTGGTGAATATGCCAAACTTTGCTGCAACCCTGTAAAGCTTTCAGAAATTACTGAAAAACCTCCACGAACACAAAGAGAGTTGGCTCATTTGTCAGAGTTGCCACCCACACCTCTTAATATTTCAGAAGACTCAAGTTCACCAGAAAGAACTTCACCACCAGATTCTTCAGTGATTGTCACACTTTTAGACCAAGCAACAAAGAGTAATGTTGATGATCCAGATGTGTCCAAATCAAAAGATTGTGTAGAAGAAAAACCACAGGAAGTACAGACATCTACTAGGAGCATTGAAAGTGTTACTGAACAGTTGGAAAGTCCGGATTTGAAGAATGTTGGCTCCGATACTGGGGAGAAAAATGAAAGAAGTTTAGTTGCTGAAACAGTGAGAAAGTGCTGGCCAGCTAGACTGGCAAAGGAGCAGATTAGTAAACGGCTTGATGGTAAGAAAGGCTGTGGAGCCATTTTGAAGGTATAATTATTGTAACAAAATATTTGCGAGAAATGAGCCATTTTGGCAGGGTAGCTTTATGCAGCTAAATGTAACAGTTGATTGTGTTTAGAGAAACTGTAAAGTTGAGAATGTAAGCTAGAGAAAGATAAACAGTGGTATCTTACATGGGGAAGAAATAGGGTGTTTAATTTATAATTAAAGTGTGCCCTGTACCTTGTGTTTCTCTAGGGAATAAGCATTAAATTGAGAAGAAAACTGGCAAGTATTGAGAGCTCTGCCATTGCCTGGTGAGAGCTTTAGCTGGTAGAAATGATGCCTGAGATTTGGGTGCTTATTGTGGGTTAGCTGCTTTACATACATTCTATTTTAATCTCATGAGATAGGAACTATTATTACTTCTGTGCTACAGGTGGGGAAACTGAGTACAATAGAGCTTAAGTATCCCATGCAAGGTAACTCCTAGGACGTGCAAGAGCCAGATTGGATTCCAGGTCTATCCTCAGAGCCTATCCTCTTAACCACTATGCTTTGTTGTCTCAGATCTAGAAAACATCTCTCTGATTCCTCTCCACTGAATATTAGGAATAGCATCTACCCTGTTTTGACACATGGGAAGTCTTTACCAATTAGTATTAAATTAATATAGATGAAATCACTTTTTTGGAAATCAGCATTTAAGTCCAAGTAGTATATACAGTGAAAAATTCTAATTTAATCAAAGTAAAAAACATGTGCTCTTGGGGCCGGCCCAGTGGCATAGTGGTTAAGTTTGCACGCTCTGCTTCCGCGGCCCAGGGTTTGCAGGTTCGAATCCCGGGCGGGGACCTATGTACCAGCTCATCAAGCCATGCTGTGATAGCGTCCCATATAAAGTTGAGAAATATGGGCATGGATGTTAGCCCAGGGCCAATCTTCCCCAGTAAAAAAGAGGAGGATTGGCAACAGATGTTAGCTCAGGGCTAATCTTCCTCACACACAAAAAAGCGCTCTTTAACGTAGATGTAACAGTCTTGTATGACTTAAACATTAAATCCCACTCCATTTACTATACATGGTGAAAACTGACAAATTTTAGACAAATGTATTAAGTGTTCTAATCATTTGCTGTAAATGAATCTTAGTTCAGTTGAATAAGCCTTTATGCCTTTTCCATACTACAGTTTAGCAAGTTCTGGAGATAGAACAATTGATCTACTGATGTTTGCGTATAATTATAAAAATAGGTGACATTAAAAAAAGGTAGATGCTACTTAGAGGGGTTTAGGTTATAGAAGGCTTTCCGAAAAACCTGACTCCTGACTTTTGGTCTTAAACAATAAGTAGCGAGTTACAAGTAGGGGAAGTTTTTCCCAGGGAAAATGAGAGAAGGTGTATTAGAATGCTTATGTTTGCAAATGTGGCAAGAGTCAGAAGTAGAAAAATTGCTGTTGATTTAGTCAGGTAATATAAGTCTCTACTATGTACAAAGTCTCCTTATGCACTGGAAGACTTTGCACTGGGGATTTTCTTTGCACTGGAGATTTTCTCTGAATATCTTTTGACAGATGGATCAAACACACAGAACTCTTTGCCCCAGGAAACAAAAATTAAACCTGGAGCAGTCTCTTTGGTATTATACTTTGGTTTTACTCGACCAATTTAGTCCTTAAAGGTACAGGCTTTGGAATTAGACCTGAGTTGTCTCAGATCTACCTTGGGCAAAGTCATTTAATCTCTGTTTCTTAACCAAACCTGTAAAATGGGAATAAAATAGCACACATTTCATAGTATTGTGAGAATTTATAAAGATAACCAATATAAAGAGTATAAAATTGTAGCTGTTAAAACCAAATAACCAGACTTGACTCATTTTAGTTTGCCACTATTTCTGCTATGAGGTCAAGCTGAAAAGAAAGTGAGAACATATATGAGGTAAACTTTATATCTGTCTTTATGGTTGCCAAGAAAAGGGCAAAAACTAACAGGTACAGGGTACTTGGGCTGAGAAATAGATTTTTCAGTTCTTCGGGGGGCCAGAGCAGAATGAAGCATTTTTAGAAGCATAGGCCAAAACTCGACAAAGAAAAGTACAGAACAGCCACATGTTGGGACCCTTTAAAAGACTGAGTGGGTGTGATTCAAGGGAGATGGCTGTATCAGAAGTACTGTGATGGGGTTTTCTGTTAGCAGCTAGAATACAAGTACTTGATGCCCTTTCTCTGATCATGAAAATTAATACTAGTGGCTTAGAAAACTGAAGAATACTATGTATTCCCTTGAAACAGAAGGAAATAAGTGATTTTCACACTCTAATTTGTGATCTAATAGTGGATTGTGAAATCAGTTTTGTGGATCAGAATGGTCACATCTATTAAGTTGTTTCAGAGAACTGGGTCATGATAGTGAATAATAAAGTTAGAAAGCTATTTTGAAGAGAAACTTAGGTATGTTTGGTAGATGGCATGTCACGCCAGATAACTATGTAGTCGTTGGGCTTTTGTGAATTGGTCTGGGATATACTGCAGTAACTGTAATGTTATGTGTGAAAACGCAGACTTAAGTTAGAAGCTACTTGTTTTTGTGAATTTTAGGGTAGAAAACATTTCATCATTAATGTTTAGGGTTCCCACCCATTCTCTTAAAAATCACAATGTAAACAAAAGAAGCTAACCCAAATTTGACCAAGCTGAGACTTGTAAAAACTTTATTAGTATTCATAGACTCAAACTGATGCTTTTAAGAGAAGAACATCTCAGAGGAGGTGCTCTTGACCTGGGGTCCAAAGTTGAGGGGAGAGAGAGGGATCTCTCCTTATTATCATAGGTCAAATCTTATACTGTGAATGCAAATTAGGGAGGGGGTTGGGGAAGAAAGGTTTAAGTCCAGTGCTAGATCAGTGCTTTTCGCACTTTAATGTGTATAGGACTGTTGTAAAAATAAATTCTGATTCAGTAGGTGGCTGGTGGGGCCCGAGAATCTAAATTTATAACAAACTCTCAGGTGATGCTAGCATCTACAGACTACACTTTGAATAGGTGGTGAAGCCGTTATTGACAAACTAGTTTAATTTTAGGTTTATAATAGGCAGGCAAAGTTAAATGAAAATATTTAATGAAGATGCTTTGAAAGCATAATATGTGCTTCAGAGAAGGTATATTCAATGAATATGAATTGGGTTATCTAACACAGGCTGAGCTGGATACTTCATCTCATCAAATCTGTTCAAAGGAGTTGGTTAAGTAACCTTTATTGCACATGGTTTTCTACATTTTTTCATACTAATATGTATGAAAATATTTAGGGTTGTTGTGAAAATATTTCATTTTCCAGATGAGGAAATTGAGGCACAGAGAGAACCACCCAAATTTACAAAGCTGGTGAGTGGCAGAACTAAAATTTGCACCCACCACTTAGTTGAGAGCTTGTTTTTTAAAAACACTGTAGAAATAGCCTCTAGTAATGATACTTAGGTAAAAGGCAGAGCTGGAACCTATGTTTATTCTAGACTGCCCAGTCAGACCAAGTTAGTCTTAAAAAACTGGAAATAACTTCTTTCTCATTTATTACTTTATTTCAGGTAATCAGTATCTGTTTTTACCACCAAATCGTTATATTTTCCATGGCGCTGAGGTATATTCAGACTCTGAAGAAGACATCTTATCCTCGAGCTCTTGTGGCAGTAATAGTGATAGTGGAACGTGCCAGAGTCCAAGTTTAGAAGAACCCATGGAGGATGAAAGTGAGATTGAAGAATTTTACAATGGTTTGGAAGATGATGCTGATGTTAATGAGAGAGCTGGAGGAACTGGATTTGGAGCTGATGGAAGTGATCAAGAGGCAGTTAATGAAGCTATATCCGTGAAACAGGAAGCAACGGACATTAACTATTCATCAAACAAATCATAATGTAATAATTGTCCAGGTACAGGAATTGTTCCACCAGCATTAGGAACTTTTAGCATGTCAAAATGAATGTTTACTTGTGAACTCAACAGAGCAAGGAAACCAGAAAGGTGTAATATTTATAGACTGGTAAAATAGATTGTTTTTTCATGTGTAATTTTTAACTTCCTTATTGCTGTACTTGTACACTCAACACTAACTCTTTTTTTAAAAGAAAGGTACTAAGTATCTTAAATCAGCTGTTGGTCAAGACTTTCTTTTAAAGGTTCATTTGTATGATACATCCATATGTATATATAATTTTGTTTTTGCCTAGTGAAGTTTCAACATTTTAAAGTTTTCAAAAAGCCATTGGAATGTTAAATTAATGTAAAGGGAACAGCTTATCTAGACCAAAGAATGGTATTTTCACACTTTTCTTTGTAACATTGAATGGTTTGAAATCCTCAAATCTCTGTTCTGCTGAACTTTTGATTCTTTATTAGCACAATTACCTATTTTTAAACACTGGCATTTTCCAAAACTTGTGGCAGCTAACTTTTTAAAAAATTTCATGACATGCAATGTGAGTAGAAGGAAGTCAGCAATATGTGGGAGAGCACTCAGTTGTCTTTGCTTTTTAAAGTAAGACGTGGTGCTAAGGGTATCAGGAACATTGTATTGTTCAAATGAAGATGGCTTTTGTACTTCCTGTGGACATGTAGTAATGTCTATATTGGCTCATAAAAGTAACCTGAAAAACAAATAAATGCTTTGGAAATGTTTCAGTTGCTTTAGAAACAATAGTGCCTGTCTGGGTCCCCTTAATCTTGAGAATATTTGCCATTGTTGTTTAAATACCTATCAATCAATCACTGTGGTAGAGCTTGCATTGATCCTTTTCCACAAGTATTAAACTGCCAAGGTGTGAATATGCAAAGCCTTTATGAATCTATAATAATGGTACTTCAACTGGGGAGAGAGTAATGTTTTGGACTGCTGCTTTTCTCTTCCATTAATGAGAGCAACAGGTCTCTGATTACAGTTCCAAAGTAATAAGATGTCAATTATAACTCAGCCAGTAAGTACATGTCTCCTGTTGGGAGGATTTGATGTAATAAACACCAAACTGCTAGCCTAGTATTACAGAGATGAACATGATGTAGCTTGTAATAGAATAGTTAATGAATGAAACTAGTTTCTGTAACGTGTCTTTATTTAAAAGCTTAGCCTGCCTTAAAACTAGAGATCAACTTTCTCAGCTGCAGGAGCTTCTAGCCTTTCAAAGAAGTTCATATAAAATTGCACAGTAAGCATTTCTTTTCCACACCTTTTCCCAACATTACTCCCAAATTATTCCTATGTTGTTTTAGTATTTACTACAATAAAAAAAGTTTGACATATAGCTGTTCTTTAAGGATAAAATACCCAGCTAAGACCATTACTGCCAGAGAAAAAAATTTTACTGAATGGGCATTTCTCTACCTAAAAGATGTCTCAATCTGAATTTATTTGGCTACACTAAAGAATGCAGTATATTTAGTTCACCATTTGCATGATGTGTGTTTGTGCTATAGATGATATTTTAAATTGAAAAATTTGTTTTAAATTATTTTTACAGTGAAGACTTTTCAGCTCTTTTTATATTGTACATAGTCTTTTATGTAATCTTACTGGCATATGTTTTGTAGACTGTTAATGACTGGATATCTTCCTCCAACTTTTGAAATACAAAACCAGTGTTTTATACTTGTACACTGTTTTCAAGTCTATTAAAATTGTCATTTGACTTTTTTCTGTTAACTTACATTGTTTAAGGTATAAAATTTTAAGATGATATAGAATTTGTATAGTTTTGAAGGCTATATTAGATGCTTTCTTCTCAACATTTCTTCATTCAACTTATAACAGAAGAATGGTACTTAAGCAAACACTGCCCAAGTGCTGGCTGCAGCAGTTGGTACACCAAAACCTCTCCTCTCCTTAGAGATCAAGTCCAAGCCTTAAACTCAAGCTAGGATGCTAGCAGAAATAAGGAGAGATGGTCTAATGACCTCTACCCACTTTTGAGTGACTGTCAACTGGGACTATTAAAAGTCACCTGGGAAACTTTATTTAAAGTATATATAACCTGAGCATCACCTCTTAAGAGATACACATTTAACTGGCAAAGGTGGGGCCTGGGCAAATTTAAAAAAATGCCTGCAGAGGGCCAGTGGTGTAGCGGTTAAGTTCGCACACTCTGCTTCAGCAGTCCAGGGTTCACAGGTTTGGATCCCGGGCACGGACCGATGTATCACTTGTCAAGCCATGCTGTGGTGGCATGCCATATAAAGTAGAGAAAGATGGGCACGGATGTTAGCCCAGGGCCAATCTTCCTCAGCGAAAAGACAGGACTGGCATCGGATATTAGCTCAGGGCTAATCTTCCTCACACACACACACACACACACACACAAAATGCCGTCAGGTGATTCAAAGGTATAGCACGAGTTGAGAAAGGCAAGGAATAGGGGAGTAGGGGAGTTCCTTCTGCACTTAACGCTCCATTCCTAGGAGCTGACCTAACAGGGAGGGCAGACTTACATAAAACAAGCAGACTAGTCCCAATTTATCTCTAGAAATATTGCATCAATTAGCAAACACTGGTAAGGGTGGGGAGCTATCAAAATAGGGTGAATTCTTTAGCAAAGGAGGACAAAACTACCATAAGGAGTTTGGATGGCCGAAGTGTGCAAGAGGTTGCGGAGCGGGAAAAGGCTGAGAACAGGAGCATTTGCCCTTGCTTTCGGTGAGCTCACCATACTCTCTTTAGGGGAAGTCTGCCCTATGCATATTACACTTTGATTTAGGACTTGCTGTTAAACTAAACGCAGTAAAAATCATCTCTAAGACCAAATGTCTATTAGTAGAAATTAACCCTAATGAATGGTCTTTATGAGTGGACCCTATGAAAAGGCTGGGACTCGTCACTTAGGTCTCTCAGTTTTAAAAACTGCCTTCTGGTTTTATTTCATTTCAAGGCACATCTTGGTCCTACTGCTTTCTCAGTCAGTCTGAACAATGGCTGGCTATTCGTTAAAATTACTACTGAATTAAGATGGGTGAGTTACAAACACGACTGCGCTTACAAACATCTGTGTGGAGGCTAAACATTTTCAAGTTTAGGCAACTCAGTAATTACGGTCCTTATAATTTAGTGAACTCAGTATCTGCCTACTTTTCTACTCTACAAAGCTCAAGATATTTTTCAAAAAGCAAATGGCAATTTGAAAAATCTTCAGTGGTATTTTAATTTTCTACCATCAATCTCCTTGCTGTTTATGCTACCGTATGTCAGAGAGGAAAATATCAGACTTACCCAAATTAAGCCTTGTACTGTTGTGCTCCCAGATAAGATGCGAGATCCTTGTTAAAATATTTGTTCAACTGAATTCCATCTGTATTAATCCAAAGTGGCTGCTATTTCACAGATCGGCTTCATAGCATACAGAGGTTACTAAAGAAAAAAAAAGCATCTGACACATACATCTACATGTTTTTGATGTGAACAATCACTACCCTCAAGGAATGGATGCACAAGGAAACAGTCTGATATCAAGTATATGCAAGAATTTTTGTAGGGAAGAATGCTACTTTGAGAAAAATTACCTTAGGTGAGAATATTGTTTTAGACTATAGAAAGACACCTATGGCTCAGCAGTAGAAGTTTTTAAGTTAAAACTACTGAAAAGCACAGGTCTACAATCCCTTTTCCAAAATCTTTGGGATCCTTTGCATTTTGGAATTATGAATGTTAAAGAATTTGCAAAGCACATCTATTATGTAGCACCCCACAGAGGTCTGAAGCAGCACCTAGATCAAACACAGTAAGTAAACACATTAACATTGCCACAGTAAAATGTACAAAATAGTCGCACATTTAGTCCTGTTTAATACCATAAATAGCCTCAACAATTCAGATCAGGTTTTGCTGCAAAATGAGATAAGCCAGTTTTTTTCAGAGTGATTTTGGATTTTGGAATTACAGATAAGAGACTTGAGGACCTTTATAAAACAGACAAATTTGTATGGGAATGGGAACCATCAAACCAAAATTTAAGAGACCTTCCCTGAGACATTCCTCTTTGAAGAATTTTGAATCTTATGAGAACCACTGAAAATTTAAATATTAAACCAATAAATCTTTATTATTTAAACAGTTTTCACGGCATTTTTTATAAATTTAAAAAATAAATATTTGCACTATAGCAGAAAGTCACATGTGTTGCATCAACTCACTGTTACAATTTAATGACAGGAGATAACTAAGCAACAGCACCATAAAACTGTTAAGATTTGTTTCTTAAAATTCAAGGAAATAGTTCTAAAGCACTGAAAATTCTGAGTAAATACCAATCTGCAGCATCAAGAATTTTGAAAGCTATAACCCAGTGATTGCTTCTCCGAGTAGCCAATGTTTCTATTCCTGGCAACTGTAGGACAAAGTTCTTCCACTACTAAATATTAAGCTTTCTGATAACCTCCCATTTATCAGTAGCATCTCAAGATTCACAAAACAAAAGAACTACAAGTTATTTAAATAACTCATCTGTAATTTAGATTTGCACAAGGACATTTATTCTAGCAAAAGAAGCAAAGATTATGTTTTCACCATGCTAATTTTTTGCTTTTATAGTTTCTCAAAATAAGATTTAAATCATAATTTTTAACCCTTAAAAGTCAGTTCAGTTCAATTACAACCATAGAAACTGTACTGGTATCGGAACATAACTATTTTATTACAAAACTTAACATTATTTACAAAATGAAAAAATAATCGAATGACTACTGCAGGCCAAAGTTAAAGGTTTTTCACCCACTGATTGAAGAAAAATTAAGCAACACTTCCATGCACTCACACAGCAGATCATTTATGAAATATGCAAACTCCTAAAATTCATGTTAGTAAAACTTCAATGTATTCACAATACTTGTATGTTTATTGGAAGATGGCAAAAAAAATCCATGGTTCTGTACAATAATTTTAATATTAACACAGTTTGTTCATTTTCCTTTAATATATTTTGGCTTTCATGAATACTCATAGCATTGAACATTTTGCAACTAAGAATTATAATAGTACCTCTGTCACCTTGCTGAATTCATCACCACAAGAAAAACACAAATTAGTTTAATGCTTTTGCAGTAAACTGAATAGTTATTAATTCCAAAGTTATATTAAACTGAAGCCTTCATTGTGATCAATAGCTTGGATCAGTTTAGAGCGTAGAGTTTCTTTTTCTGTATATTTTGGAAGATCCAGAAGATTAAAACAGGTATGTGAAACTGGGAGATATTCCTCACCACCTCCTGTGGACTGGATGACTAGTTTTAGACTCTTCATACCAAGAATAGGAATGCGATCACTACCTGTCAAAAATACTGCCAAGAAAAAAATCACTCAGCCAACCACTTTTATCAAAACAACAATATAGAGTATCAAGTTATTTAGTACAGTCACTATAGCAAAGGTTTACATTAACATTTGCTCTAATATGGAAGGCTATCTCCAGAATTTGTGGAAGCACTATTTTTGAGACACACACTAATTATACATCCACACAATATTTTTTCTTTAAAAGTGTAATCTTAATATTAGCACACAGGAGATAACCAATGTTTGATGAATGACTCACTATTGTCCCTGACAAAAACATTTGGGGAGCCCTTCTTTTGGGAATAGCTGTTTAGAACTAGTTTATAAATCAAATACAAAATGCAGTTTGGGTTATGATTCTTTTTTCTGTTTCTTTTGTTTTTAAACAAATTTATAATGGGCAGCCAAAACTCAAATCACTTAAGAATTACTTGTTATCTTTATGATATTTAACCAAGATTCTCATTTCAATTATCAAAGAGAGACTGACAGGGCCGGCCCCGTGGCTTAGCGGTTAAGTGCACACGCTCTGCTACTGGTGGCCCGGGTTCGGATCCCAGGTGCGCACCGACACACTGCTTCTCTGGCCATGCTAAGGCCGCGTCCCACATACAGCAACTAGAAGGATGTGCAACTATGACATACAACTATCTATTGGGGCTTTGGGGGCGGTGGGGAAAGGAGGAGGATTGGCAATAGATGTTAGCTCAGAGCCAGTCTTCCTCAGCAAAAAAAAAAAAAAAAAAAAAGGAGGATTAGCACAGATGTTAGCTCAGGGCTGATCTTCCTCACAAAAAAAAAAAAAAGAGAGAGAGAGACTGACAAAAATATTCCTGGCAAATAGCAAAAGTATCAAAGACAATGCCATTGATTTAGATACATAAATTCTGACAACTTTATTCAAAAAATAAGTAAAATTTCAGGGCCAGCCCAGTGGCGCAGAGGTTAAGTGCGCGCACTCCGCTTCAGCGGCCTGAGGGTTCGCAGGTCCAGATCCCAGGCGCGCACCTGACACACCACTTGTCAAGCCATGCTGTGGCAGCGTCCCACATCAAGTAGAGGAAAATGGGCATAGATGTTAGCCCAGGGCCAATCTTCCTCAGCAAAAAGAGGAGGATTGGCATCGGATGTTAGCTCAGGGCTGATCTTCCTCACACACACAAAAAATACTAAAAAAATAAGTAAAATTTCAATTAGACTACAGATTTTAACAGATGAAAGACATACAGAGCTTAGGTTATAAAAAAGAGAACTAAGTCCTGGAAAAGCTAAGTTCTACTTTCTACAGAAATTCCCAAAGTTTTGGTGCCAAAGCAAAGAGAAAAAGAAAATGAAGACTGAACACAGAAAAGAGCTATACTCCAGAGATCTTTTTAGAAATTCTAAAAG